ATCATCCTTCTCAAACATGATAATCACTTCTAAATTATACAATTGTAGTTGGAAAGCAACCTCACTTTTAAGATTCTAGTAGCTGGAAATTAAAGAGCAATCATTGTAGTAAAACATAATAGTTAAACTTGACAGACTTTGTACACTACTTTAGTTGTAAACTACTTTTCTTTAACAAACAGTTATAAAGTTGCCACAACAAGAGAATATGAGAGGAAGCTGCACCTCACTGAAACCGATTCTGAACTTCTTAGGCTCATCAACTTCTTAGGCCAAACAAACAACAATGGCATCACCATGTCAAACTTAGGACGAAACAAAGGAATGGATAGCATTGATAAATAATTATTTGAAGGAAATTAGAACTTGCAAGCATACCAATTGTTTAGAAATGAATCTTTGTTGCTAGAATGGATTTTTTTTTTCTCTAGAAGTTGATGGCTTGGGTGCTCAAATGGTGGGAATGATTTAGGCACTGATCCAATAGGCAAGCACCCAGTAGGATATGTGTGACGAGACGAGCTCAGCTTTGAAATTTTATAGGTACTGAACAACAATAAATAGGCGCTCGAATAACCGCAAAATGAGATAAACTGAGGGCATGATTTACTGAAAGAAACTTGCATCGATTATAAATCTAACCTGTGATTTTCTGGAAGGTGGCCGGCAGCACCTTGCTCAGGTTGGCTTTGCCGCCCTGGGCCTTGTCCCCGGCCACTTCCTCGCCGCCTCGGCGCTGCCCCTCCTAGCCGACCAGAGTGAGATCCATCGATCTGGCCATGTGAACACTGGATATAGATACAAACCATGCCTGCTCTTGTTCTTGCTCCCACGACACCACATCAGAGGAAGGGTGGGAGCCATATGTGTTTGGGAGACGAAGGAGGCCGGTGGGGAGCCAGCAACGCTGATCCGCCACAATCGCTGGCATCCACTCCCACCCATCCCCTCCGCCTTCTCTGATCGACGTTGTGGTACTCCCCTGTTCTTCGCCGTGTCGAGAGATCACGCCGGCGAGATCCCTCGTTCAAGGGAGGTGGCACTGGAGGCCTCGCCCAAATCCGCCCCATCTTCTTGCTCACCATCAATACGGAGAAGAGGAAGAGCGGTGTCCCGTGGATCTTCTTCAGCGAGAGGGGAAGACAAACGGGAAGAGGAGGAGGCGGCTCTGGCTGGCGGCGTGTGGGGGAGAGAGGCGGAGAGGAAGACCCGCGTGCGACCCAATGCGGAGCTGCCTTCGTTGGGAAGGAAACGACCACCCAATCGCTGTGTTTATTGCTTTTTTTCTCTTTCTCCTCGCCTCCAGTAAAAACCCTTGAAAGTAACAGCGCCACAGAGACGACTTGGCACGCGCGAGAGAGCGCCATTTGCGCGACGCGAAATGGGTTTAATATCTAAAGCATGTCACTGTTTAGTACTAGCGCTGCCACGTAGTCAAGCACATCAGTGTCAAAAACCACATTTACCAAGGCCATGCCACTTACTCCTACAGTGTCAGTTTGTCACTAGCTAGCCAATAGCTAGACTCCACCGTGCTTTGCACTTAGAACAAGTAGTACTTTCCACATAGAACTTGTATACTTCTCCCTCTGCCATGTCAGAGTGTTTAGAGTAGTGATCTAAACGCTCTTATATTTCCTTAGTACCAACCAATTTAAAGCTGCTTAATCTGTCATTGTCATGTGGCTTTGCCCTTCCTATCCACAGACCACTATGAAAACACACACTTAATTGTCCTGAAAATTTCATGCACCACTTACTTCTTAGTCATTTGTTTTGTGGACTTTTAAGTCTATATCCAATTCTCATAGTTTACATTATTATCCGCACCTGAGGTTTTTTCTAGCATTCCATTAAACAAAAAGCAAATGTTTTTACCAAACATTCAAATATATCATTTTTTATCTTTTTGGATAGAGATTAAAATGTAACTTTATTTCTATTCCAAAAATACGAAAATTCAGCGAATAATATGTAAGAAATGGAAATTTATTGACTGGGGGCAAAAAATAGAAAGGATCTCGTGAAAATGGAAACAAAAACAGAACAATATTTTTCATGGTACACTACCGAAAATTTAATTTATGTACCCGCAAATGTGCAAGTTTCCTGTTTTTGTCTATAGTAGCTATTAGCACAGGG